GATTCCAGACAACTCTTAAGGTTTCTGGACAAAGGAATTACCAAGATAGTCATAGATCAAGGTTTTTAAACACAAGTGCAGAGAACTTAAATAGTATAAACACGTAATCTGTACTATTAACCATAAAACAGAAACGATCTCACCAGATCCCTTTATTAGGGTTTCAAGAAATAACAAAGAGCAGCTTAAACAAGTGTTACAACTTTCAAATCTACAAGAATCAGAGTCAAGAACCTCTATTCAACCTCTTTGATACCACTGTTAGGAGGAGTTTCCACAAGATTAGCTCAATAACAACAAAATATGTATGAAGAACGAACCAAGACAGTAAAGAAAAAAAGTAACTTTATTAAATGTTGCCCTAAGGCAAAAACCCAAAATATACCAATGCTTCAGTCACTAAAGCAACCACCATTCAAAATGGAACACAACCAAGGCTAGAATGACCAGATTTAGACACTCAGACAGTAACCACTAAATATCACAATATCTCATCCTTCACTCAACAATCTATCGTTCACACAAGAACACAATACTCTAATCAAATAGAAATCACTTAAGATTACAATATTTGAGAAAATAACAAATCAAAAGAGAGTTTTGATTTGCAAAGAGAAGGTGAGATAAAAACACGAATGGTACAGAGAGGAGAGAAAATCAGAGAGTGTGTCTAGTTCCAAATCCTAGAATGCTATTTAAATTAGTCACCCAAATGTCTCCATCCAACGGTTGGCGACATCTGGAGCATCCATTCAAAAGCTAGAAACACGGCTTTCTTAGCCCCTATTTGGCCCCCATTATTTTGCATTTTTGATGGCTGAAAGTTTTTGGAATAATGATTGATGGGAGAATGTGTGGTGGAAAAGTAATGAAAAGTTTTAGATTTGTGTGTAATATTATTTTATTTGATGAATGTGTGGTTGTAATGAAGAGAAAGAAAAATTTAATGTAATGTAATTTAATTATGAAGCCCCTGTTTGGCCTCCATTATTTTGCATTTTTTATGGTTGAAAATTTTTGAAATAGCGATTTATGGGAGAATGTGTGGTGGAAAAGCAATGAAAAGTTTTAGATTTGTGTGTAATATTATTTTATTTGATGAATATATGGTTGTAATGAAGAGAGAGAAAAATTTAATGTAATATAATGTAATTTAATGGGGGCCAAACAGGGGCTTAATAGAAAGACGACTTTGCACCATTTTAAAATCAATCAATCAGTCAATTGGTCAATAATTTCAGTCAGCATGACAATAGCATCATTGTGCCATCTTCACATAAATGTCTGAATAGGTTATCTTATAATGTTAGGTCGGTATTTAAAATGTAAAACTTTTAGGCATTAAGGGGCTGTTCTCTTTACCGTTTTCAGGCCGTTTTCTGTTTTCGATTTTTCAAAACAGTGAAAACGCGTTCTCTTTTCTATTTTCAAAAACGCGTTTTTAAAAATGAAAAAAAAATTTACATTGAAAACTGAAAACGTTGGAAATCACGTTTTGATTGTTTTGAAGCCAAAAGACGGTAAATTTTAGAAAACACGGGAAACGGAACTTACCCTCTGTCTCTCCCGTCTCCCGTAACATTGGCGTCCTTCGGTTTTCTTTCTCCAATCTCACAAACCCACAATTCAATTAAGCTCGTGTTGCCAAATCTACGGGTTTTCTACTGGTTCTTTCAATCAGGTTTGCCTACTCTCACTATTCCTCTTATTAATCAATCTGCTGTTTTTTTTTTTTCATATTTATTTTCGAAAATAGGAAAACCCAGTAGAGTTTTCTAAAGAATTTGGGTCCTTTTGAAAGTGGATAAAGGGGGGATTTAGCTGGTATTTTGAACTGGGTCTGATATGTTTTTCACAATTTGTGGTTTTTTTTGTCTAAAAAAAATGGTCTTGAAGCAGATGGAGTATTCGGTTTTTGTTTAGCTATTGGGAGTTTCTTAAAATTGGGGAGAAGGTGTTTGTTTTGTTACCATCGACCGCTTTCCTGAAATGAATTTGAGGTGTTCTAGGTGATTCTGTTTACATAGAAGGGTGTGGCAGTTGGGATTTTTTTGGTAACTATTTTCCTATTTTGTTTTGGAGATTTGATGATATCTAATTTCACTTGAATGTGGAAGCCAGATTATCCACAAATTCAAATGTTCCTACGGTAGTAGGGATTTTAATTCTTGCAAACAAGAATAATGCTAACCAAATAAAATAGGATATAGTTCATTTGGGCACATGAATGCGTATTGATCTCTGTTGAGGTGAAGCGGACATTGGCATGACACGTACATGGATTATCTTACATTGCTGCTTTTTAGCTTTTTCAAATTTACAGAACAGAAGAAATAATTGCTATTTTCATGTACTAAGATCAAATATTTTCCAGTGAATCGCATCCATGTTTAAATATCAGGATTAGCATTTAGCAGACTTGCACTCTGTTGGTGTTGTACAAGGTCAAGTTCCATGCGAATTCTGTTTCTCGTGTTCGTGTTTTTGTTGGCAGAAAGAGTTTTATTTTTTTTTATTTTTTTTCTATAGTGAGTTTTATTATTCTGTAGCACTGCATCTAGTCATTCTTCGTTAATTTGTAAATGGATCCAAAACCAGTATAGTTGTATAACTGGTAAATAATTGTTTGAACTCGGGAGAAAGAAGAAAAATGGTGATGCTGAAGTGGAGACTGGGTGTTGGATTAAGTTAAGATATATTGGTAGCTGTATTTCTTCCAGATCAAAAGTTGATAGCTCACTTAGTGGCATCAACACTCATGGTAATCCATTAATTGATTTTAATTATGTCTTATATTTTCAGTTTAATCTCTGTTGTTGGAATAGTATGTGATTTCCATACCTTTGTGTTGTATTGTTTTAATCTTGAAAGTGATTTGCTGAACAGAACCTATGCCTGATATTCAAGATTTTTAAACGACAAGCTGAACATTTATTTCTGTTAATTTTCTTCGAGGATGGGAGCCTTTTTGTTATTATTTCAGTTCATTGAGTAAAGTCAAAATAGACTATATAAAGGATTTAGTTGATTGCTTTAAGTCTTCTTTATTTTCTAAATCATTTGATTATAATACAATAAATGTGTTTCTTGTACCCTTAAACAATCTTATGGAAGGATACAAATCCTTCCTTACCATGATCTGTCTAGGTATTTTCTTTCTTCTTCACTATGTATTTGTGCATATTCTCGCACACATGAACACACACCTGCACACAAATCCCATAGGGACAAAAGCATTGTGAATAGCACACCACTCCATATACCATGAAGTATCTAGGTATCATCCATCCATCTGAAGTTGAACTTTTGATGAAATTTTGTTTTACCATCCAGATGATGAAGATTTCCATCATCCAAGCTCTTTCGCAGGAAAAGACTACACAAACTTGCAAACTTATTCTGATGCCCTCTCAAAGGACCAAGTTTGGAATGGACGACAACTCCAGCAACAAATGAAAATTTAATAAATGTCACTATTGAAGAATTATTATAATTTTAGTCAGAGTTGCTACGTGGAATTATTATAACAACTCCAGCTACTCTCCGAAAAGAGGCAGATTCTTCCCGCCTCCGTCTGTTGTCGAGTTGCTACGTGGAATTTTTATAATTTTAGTCGCCATGATCGTAATGAAGGGAAGCACTATCATTGTTTTCTGGAGATTTGAAAGCATATTATGGTTTCATATTATGTTGATCAAATTGTTTAAATATTGCTTTGGATTTGTTCAAATCCATTTTTATTATTGTGAGGTTTATCCTTTTGAGCTCAAATTTAATGTTTATTTCAATATATAGATTTGTTTATCTCACAAGATCCAGGATGATAGTTTCGCATCACTTTTTTTTTTAAAGTAGTTTACTTATGAATTGAAAATGTGCTCTCAACAACTATGGTAAATAGTCCTTTTTAGACCAATACATACAATCGTTTCACATTGTACTCCGCTCTCCCGCTAACAAAACTTGTATTATGATAAGAGTAGAATTATTATACACATATAGAGTCTGACACATGAAAAGAATCAGCCTAAAAATTCAAATCGTATCGATTGAACTGTTTTGTCAAATGTAATTTAGGTTGTGGTTTTAATATCTGAAAAAAAAAATTTTGAAGTTTCACCAATTTCAAAATTTATATGTTATTTAATGCTATATTAACATTAAACTATTAAAATTTATTGAATAATCAGATTTTTTGAATAAAATATTATTTAAAAAAATTCTCAAATTTTCAAAGTAAACGCGTTTTCCATTTTCGTGTTTTCAGAAACAGTTTTTCAGAATGACAAACAGAACGCATTTTCAGAAATTTCAAAACAGACAATCAAAACACAAAACACAAAACGAATTCAAAACTCAAAATACAAAACTGAAACACAAAGAGAACAGCCCCTAAGTTTTTCCATCCCGATAAATTAGGTCCATCTGAAGTCAACTGTACTTTCATGTTCGATATTAATGTGACAAAAGAATTTTCATTCAACATAGAAAATTTCTCAATGTAATTCTTGTCCGCACACCATGAAATAAAGTAAAAATTTGTAACACTTGCTGAACCAGTATAATTCTTTCGTTTCTTGTGCTTTCTTAACTGTAGAGATTTCCACTCATCTTTCAATCAAAAAATGGCGATATTTAGATTAAATCAATTCTCTGCATTTGTTCATATCGAGTGTTGATCGTTTGATTCTAAGTATTCCTTTCGAATCGATTTTCAAGAGATCCATTTTTTGTATCATCTGGGAAAAGGCTCTTCGCTCTTGGGGTAGGGAGAGGAAAGCTATTAAAATAAAGTTCGATGTCGATCTGAGGGGAAAAGACAGTTTTTATTTCAACATTTTCCTCAGTGAAGTATATTTGCCATTCCAGGAGGCCAAGAACAAGATTTCTATCAACACAACCCCATAGAAGCCTGCATAAAGTTTTGAATCGTAGTAACGTGTCTCCACAAACAACATTCCATACTCGTTATTGCATGAGAGGCCGTAAAATCCTATATCTCAGTGCTGTTCTGTCTTTCGCACAGTGGCTAAATCTAAAGTAGAACCGTAAGTTCTGTACAGCGACTCAGCTAACAAAACACCCCTTTCATCAACATTTGGCATCCGCGCTACCGTAGGAGCAGTAAGCTTATCGTTACAGATCACCCTTGCAGTAATAACTTGCAGATGATACAGACCAAAATTGGTTATGCACACTTTAATAACCTGATCACCCTTTGGAGCCTGAGGTATTCCCGTGTACTTGAAATATCCTAAGAGATGGTTCTTTTCAACTGATGTCTCATTACCCTCGTAGACGAATATTAATGCCTCTGTTTGATTATCATGCAATGTTGTGAACAACAAGTCTTCACTTGCAGGTAATTCAGTATTTTTGGGCATAATAGGAATGAAGTTGTTTCCGTCTGCTCGAATACCAAAACTCATTGGAGTTTTTTTAGTCCATGACAAGTCCAAAATCCCTGAAGGATTTTGTACACCAGAAGTCACTGCACCTTCAAGTGCTGCCCCGCACACTGCAGCCTCAAGTGGGTTCATTCCCAAGTAAAGTTCTTTTCTAAATATATCAATAACCATTTTCTGTATCTTCGGGATATTTGAGCAACCACCAACAAGAATTATGTCATCTACTTTGTCAGCTTCTATCTCTGCATCATGTAAACACTGGTTAATCAGACTAGCGCATTTTTCAAACACGTTCTGGTTGACTTCCTCGAATTCCTTTCTATTGAGGACCTTGAATATTTTACTTCCATTTTCAAAGTTAACATCAATTTCAGCACTAGGTTCGATTGAAAGCTTGTGGATGGCATCCTGGGTGGAAATTCGCATTTTCCGTATTTCGTTAATACTGTGTCTCGAGAAGTATCTATTCATATCGGGTAAGAGGTGACGCATTGTATTTTGGAGTATGTCTTCCCCTCCTAAGGTACCTCCGGCCAAGCCCCGTGTCCGGCAAACTCCTCCTGTTACGGTCACGACAGCTACATCACAAAATCCAGCACCCATATTGAAAATAAGTGCAATCTTTTCACTGCCGCTGCCCATGTTCTTGTGCGCATTCTGCTTCTGCTTCTGCTGCTGTGCATATAACATTGCAACAGCAGTCGGTTCAGGAATCAAGCTTAGAACACTAAGGCCAAGCGCATGACAAGCCTTCGTAATTATTCTCAATTGGAGTCGGTTAAATGATACCGGGACTGTCAAGACTACTTTTTCTATTGGATGCTGGAGCTGAGTTTCAGCCATGACTTTTAATTCACCAATTAATATTTCAAGACCTTCTTCAATATTAATAAACTTCCACATCTTATTCACTAATGCAGCAAACAATAGTCTTGCACCAATTTTTAAGTTCTGTACTGGAAATGGAAGGTTTATGCCCGCATGAACAGCAGGGTCCATGTCGTGTCTACCAATTAGACGTTTCATGTTGAAAATGGAAAACATCTTGTACACATTAGCCGGGGGGTTGTTTCTGAGGATCTCTACCTGAGAGCCATTCCAAACTGCCACGGTACATTGAGAGGTACCGATATTGATTCCAAATGCAGGAGCTTCAATATCAAATGCTACGCGATATTCTTGTTCATCCATTCCCGATCTTCCAAAGGAACAGCTTCACCTACTTCACAATAAAATACGGATTAAAAAACACTGTTAAGTTATGGATTGTTAAATTTTGTCTATCGAAAATCTGCACTTCACGTAAATCAAGCCGAAAGCACTGGTAAGAAGGAACAATGAACAGGATAATTGACACCGATAGATTTAATAAATGTGGACAATTGAGTATACAACCCAATGATCTCTATTGATTCAGAAAATATCCAACGAAATACGAAGTTGAAAACCTCCCTATAGTTAAGTGGAATATACTTTCAGGGGAGAAATCCAACATAAATATTATTCAGGATAAATATGAACTCCTCTGAATGTAACAAGGTTTTTAAATTCAACAATAGACTACATATGAATTGCATAACATGTAAATGAATAAACATAGAACCATTCAAGAATCAAAAAACACGAAAATTCATATTCTAACTAAGAATTAAATCTAATAGCTCATCATACTTCACATATCATCATGGGGCATCGTACAGTGAAAAGAGGCAAGAAAGATATGAAAAGTCAAATATATAGGAGCAATCCCATTAGAATTAAATGTTAAAAGGTGGAAGAAAATTATGGAAACAAATCAGTATCAATACTGAAGAAAATTAGTACTGTGGATTATTAAAAGCAAAAAAATAAATAAATAAATAAATACTTGCAATGAGGTATTGAAGATTAAGTGATCATAGCAAATGCGAAATTATAATGATAAAAGTGATACAAAACTTGCAATGAAGAAAGCATCCTTACTGGAGAGAATGTTGTGAAGAGAATGAGAGAAAACTCACCTTTTCTTGACGAACAGAGAGAAAGAGACGAGCGAAGGGAAAGTAAGAAAATTCTCGAAGAAGAAGAGTGAAGGGAATTGAATGGTGTGTTCGTATTGATTGTACGGAGGAGCATAAATTGGTTTTTAGCGCGGGAGGCACAGAATTTAGTCAAAATGGATTGATGTTCTGTTAAGTCTGTTTTGAAGATTGGTTATTTTAAGGGTAAAATGGGGGATTTATTTATATAGTAATGTCATTAAAGAAATATATGATATGTGGACACTTGATGTTCAACACGTATTAAGAGCTTGTTTGGTAGAAATTAAAATTGGATTAAAATCGAAAAATTAGCCGTTATTGTTGACTTTTATTAGACGAGTGGGACCCAATACCAATTATATTTTTAATTTTAATTGGATTAAAATATCTCCCAAACAAGTTCTAAATACTAGAGATCTACTATTTGTATAAGGTGAATCGTTCTGTACAAGATCCAGAAGCAGTGTTGGCTGCCAACAACGTACTTTTTTTGGCAATGTCCAATGCAGTGCCAGCACTGGACGGTGTACAAGGTGAATAATCCTATACAAATAGACTTACTATAAATACTATTTTCATTCTATAAAGATAAATTTGATTTCCATTTTTATTTGTCCTAAATTATAGATCACGCTCGATAGCTATAATAGTCGTTCTACGTGACATCCTATGTGACAGTTTGTTTTTTTTGAGACATTAATTTTCTATAATTTTGTTATCTCAAATAACAAGTGAATGCCTCATATAACAAGCGTCACATAAGGTGACTAATTCAGTCGCCGATTATGAATAACATTGCTATTTTCTTATTGAAAATATAGATTTTTTTTTCTTTTTTAATATGCCCCTATTTAATTACCTTGTTATCAACAAATATACTAAGCTTAGCCCCCGTTTGGCCTCCATTAAATTATAGTTTATTTTTATATCTCTTCTTATCAACCATACATTTTTCAATAAAATAATATTACACGTAAATTTTTTCTTATTTTTTAACCACACATCCTCTAAAAAATTACTATTCATCTCATTATAATGTGGAATAATGGGGGTCAAGCGAGCATTATTTAAATAATTATTTAATGTATGAGTATATTAGGAAAAATATAAGAAATTTTTATGTATTCTCAACTATATTAATTATATATATTTTTTTTGATTTGTTTAAAAATAGAAATAATTCTATTTTAATGCGAAGAAAATAGTAGCATTATTCTTGTTTATATACTGCCGAAGCCCTTCTATGATTTAGAAGTAGAGCACTTTAACCTATTTCCTTGTTGTTACGCAAATTAGAAAATCTGTCCATCCTCGTCTTTGATTGAGTTTTCGAACTTCGAACCTCGAGAATTAGCTGTTGTTCAAAATGTAGCAAAATTTGTGCCCGTAATTATTTAAAAGGGAAAAAAAGATGTTTTTAAACTCTTTGGCGAACATAATTATTTATATCCCAACTAACTATAATGAATCGCAAAATTGATCTCTTATCCACAGTGGACATGAGATTATGATTGATAATGAATCGTTGTTAATTTGCCAATTATGTGCATCTTATAGTTTTTTGTTTTTTATTTTTTACTTTTTATTTTTTTTTCGTTCGATGATAACTAAGCTTCTTAAAGTTTGTTTGAAGAAATTCATATTTTATGGTCCTAACAAAATGTTGCTTTCTATATGAGAATTCCTATTTGAAGGGGAAAAAAATTACTGTGTTGTTGGTTGATACCTATTTTTAGGTGATACTTTACTCTCTTTTTTAACTACGCGATTGAGTTATTTGATATCAACCAACTTTTAGGTGATACTTTACTCTCTTTTTTAACTTCGTGATTGAGTTATTTGAATTTTATCGAACAAATATGTCTAATAGAAAATATGCATTGGGTCTGAAACTTTAGAAAAAGAGGAAAAAGGGCTCTTGAGTAATATACCATGATAATAAAGATTTAAATGATAAAAGTGAGGAAAGAATTGAACACAAAACTCTAAATGAATTAGGAGATAAAAGAAGTGTTAAGGCAGTTAGCTCATGTTTGTTGCAGAATTTTAGTAGATTTTGATAAATTTGATGAAATGTGTGCTTAAAATCAATTGTTGACTTTGACTTAAAATTAAAATCAGATTTTAATTAGTACCAAACATGGGCTTAATATTAAGACCTTTAGTATCAAGTCAAAGTTAGCTAACTTTCAATCTTTTCAAGTTTCAAACAGGAACCTAAAATAGCACCATAACTATCATGATCTTTACGTACAAATTGATGCAAACATCATATAGTTGAGGTACTGTGTGTTCAAAATTGTAAACCCTAATCATATTCCAGTGATAGCAATTAATTTAAAGAAAGAAAATAAACACTCAAGAACACGTAAGATTTATAAAAGTTTGCTTCAATATGAGATTATGTTCTCTCCCCGCTGCAACGATTCACTATGATAAAAAAGATTTACAAGAGAAAATTACATAAATATCTTCTTTAACCTCTCTTTTTCTCATTTTTGATGATAATAATAAAGTTTAAAGACGATCAATATTTATAAGATAAATTAGGGTAAAATCGAATATTACAAGAACTACCATTCATTAATAAAATCTTACATGAATACAAATTCATAAGTAGTCCTTAATTCAAAAATAGGTAAGCTCTATATGAAGACCTTACCGCAGTGAGGTCAATCTACAATGAGTTGTGTAGTGACAATAATTAGATTCCACAACTTAACACTATGACTCTAGAACATAGCCAAATCAAGTCCCCAAGCATGAGAGTCCTATAACAAAATGAAGAGGTAGAAAAATGTAAAATATCGACTTTAGCAGATTGAGAATCTTGATGTCTTATAGTTTTTGTGCTGAGTTTCTATAAATTTAGCATACCAAAACTTAGGTAATGACTCATAAAAAATCATCTTCATACCCTTAACTTTTACATTAAAGCATTAGGGATTGTAAGATTCAAACCCTGGTCCAAATATTGGTGCTTCCAGAATTTGTGTTGAAGTCGTGTTTATGGTAATTGCAACTTTATTAATGATGCGTTATTAACTGGATTGAGACATGTGGTTACATCTTGGCCGTTGATCTTTGGTTTCTGGATAGTTCTATTATTAGTGTTGTTTCAACAGGCACTCATTTGAGGGTTTTCATTCTGGCTGAGTGCTATGGTTTTGAAGGAAGTTCTCTCATCGTCTAGGTTTCTCTCTTCTGTTGTTGTTGTTGTTCTTCTTCTTCTTTTTCTTCTTCTTCTTCTTCTCTCAAATTCTTGATTGAGACTTACGATCTGTAATCTTTAGCCCCTATTTTGTGATTTCTGAATGAATATTTGTAAGAGAGTTTGAATTCTCTTGAGTTAGTGTTTTCAATAGGTTTGTGAAGATTCTTGATGATTGTTCATGGATCAATCATTGCCTTTTTTGAGAGATAAGTGTTCTTGTACTATCCTTTTTGTATTGATTAACATTTGTAACATTTCATTGCCATTTTGGGCTATATAGTGGAACTGAGTATAATCCAATGTATTGGATACTCAACGGGAGATATAGGCGTTAGAAGTAGTCGCCTAACCTCTGTGGCTTAGGCCAAAAGAAATCGCTTGTGTTGTCTTTAATTTCTGCACTTTTATTTTCTGTGAGATCATTTTATTATTGCTTCTCAATGTTAATATCGTGTGTTCCTGGACCTATAATGGCATCAAAGCCATTACTGAGGAGCAAGATGCCTAGATCTTGGAGAAATGGGTTATTATTGTATTCTCTATTATCGTGTTTTCTTTTGAGTCTTGACCTGTATATTCTCTGTATGTGCTTGAAATTTGCAAAATCTTGTTTTACTAAGCGATAATTGTGATTTGTGAGTGACGTCAATCTGTATTCTTACTATTATTTGCAAATCTGTGAAAATTGTCTTCAATTTGAGAGTCAATACTTTTTATAAGATGGCTTCTGCTAAGTTTGAAGTTAGTCAATTTCATAGAAAATGTGATTTCAATATATGGAGTCAAAAAATGAAGGAAATTTTAATGCAAATGAGATGCGTTAGGGCTTTAGATGATAGCTGATACGTTGACTTACTTCCTGCAAAGGAATTTGAATTTGAAGAAGTTGTTTGGAGTACTATTTTCTTGTACTTATTTGAAAACGTGATAAGAAGTATTGGTGAAACAAAAACTGC